GACGTGACATGTTCGTACGAACCCTTTGTACGAACAAAAGTAAGAGAAATTTAGGATAAGAATACGAACATGTTCTTGCATGAGGCCCATTAATTGTTTTCTTATGTAGGTAAAAATCTGTTTAACAACCTGCTAAAACACACCAGAATGCAGGAAATGACATTTACTTCTTTAAAATTTTTATGGGGGAGGACCCCCAGACCCCCCACCAGTGGATCCCCCCAACATTATAAATACTTACTCTTGTTTYTTGTCTCTGAATGTCATAAAATCAGTGATATTATCAGTGATATTACAAATTGAACATTTATTGGCCATATATTAATAATATATTAATCCATATATTGCTATAGTTTTCAATTTGTCATTTTTACAAACACATCATAAACATTTCTGTTATAGATATTAGTTTTGGTGTGCCACCCCTGGTTTTTCAGTGCTCCCTCACCCATGGCCCCCCCTGAAAAAAAATTCTGCAGGCGCCACTGGAAGTCTTATTAAAATCTGTTGAATATTTCATGAGATATTTTACAGGAAATTACATGATTAGTTGTAATTTATGGCTAGGCCTGACACAATAACAAATTTTACTGGACGAAAAATTGTCTCAGAAATTATTGCGATAAACGATAAAATTGTTAGAGACCAGTTTAAACTAATATAATGATATTACAACCCGTTTACATTAAAATTTACATAATGTAAAAAGAACAACTGTTGTCAATCCCAAGGCGTTGCTGTATGAAGGCATCAGAAATCTGAAGACGCTCCTCGGGCTAAATGTTCACGGGCTTTCATGCTACAGAGGTTAGAGACCATGTGCCTGGCAAATACCTGACAGCAGAGTTCACTCCTCTCTACTCTAAGAAGTAAAAAAGAGGGAGACACAAAGAAAACCAAAAAGCAGGCATATGAAAATTGTTGTCTTCATTTTAACTTATCTTTTATATGATTAATTGATTTACTTTGACAGGCCTATTTATGGCTGCCCGTGATAATAATCTTTTTTTTTTTTTGATAACCTGACTGCTTGTGCCTGATTCACTGGCATTGAAGTGTGAGTGAGCCTCGCTTTAGAAATAACATTTTGAAAGAAAGTCCCAAAATGTGTAAATAGGTGTCTCTGCAGTACATAGGTGTAGTTTCCTGGCTGTGTGGGCAGGGTTTGTCCTAACCGTGATTGGCAAAAAATAAATAAATCAGACATTTTTTTAAAATCCGGAGTTTTCTCTTGAATCAAGAGGGTCTTCCCATAAAATGAAGGATTTTTTTATAATCTCCTGAATTAAAAAACAGAAGCACATAATACATATTTCAACAATTTATTTTGCAGCTGTATTAAATACTGACTGAAAAAAATGTGTATTTCTC